TACTACTACTACTACGATTGCTCTTGGTGCTGCTGTTGGTGCCCCTGCTCCTGCTACGCCTACCACTGCTAGTGCTACTACCACTACTACGGCGACTACTACGACTACTGCGAGTACGACGACGACGAGTACTACATTTACTATGACTACAGCTACTACTGCTACAACTACTACCAGTGCTACAAGTACTACTACTACTACTACTACTACTACTACTACTACTACTATCACTACCACTACTACTACTACTAATAATAATAATTATACGACTACTACTACTACTACTACTACTACTACTTCACGACTATCATTACTACTGCGATTACTACTACGGCTACTACGGCTACTCCGACCACCACGGCTACCACGACTAATACTACTACTACTACTACTACGACTACTGGAACTACTATTACTACTGCTACTACTACTACGGCTACGACTTCTACTTCTACTACTACTACTACTACTACTACTACTACAACTACTACTACTACTACTACTACTACTGCTACTGCTACTGCTACTGCTACTACTACTACTGCTGCTACTGCTACTACTACTGCTACTATTACTACTACTACTACGACTACTACTACTACTACTACTACTACGACCGCCACAACTACTACTACTACTACTAAACCCCCCCCTTTACGACTGACTACTACTACTACTACTCGACCACTACTACACTTAATACTACCTACTACTACTACACTACCACTCTACTACCACTACTACTGCTAAGCTACTATACTACTACTACCACCACTACTACTACTACTACTACTACTACTACTACTACTACTACGAACTACTACTACTACGACAAACTAACGGCTACGACCTACTACTAACTACTACAACACTACTACGACTTTCCACACACTAACTACTACAACTACTTTACTACTACTACTACCACGACTACTAGTACACTGTTACTACTAAGACTGCTACTACTGCTGGTACTACAACAACGACTACGCAACAACTAACTAAAACAACTACTACTTACGATTAACGAATACCTACTAATTACTACCAACTACTACTAACTTACTACAACTACTACTACGACTAACTTGCCACTGCGAATACTGAATAACGAAAGACTAAGAACTTACCACATTACTACGACTGGGGCTGCTACTAACTACTACTTCTACTGCTATTATTAACTACTGCTACTACCTACTACTACTGTACTACTACGAGGTTTTACTACTACGAACTACTACAACTACTAACTACTACTAACTACTACTGCTACTACTACTACTGCGACTACTGAACAACTACTACTGTTACGACTACTCTTACTCGTACGATTACTACTACTACTACTACTACTACTACTACTACTAATACTAACTACTACTACTACACTACTACTACTATCTACTAACAACTACTACTACTACTACTACTACTACTACTACTAACGATTGCTACTACTACTACTATCCTTGACATTACTACTAACTAGTAAAACTACTACTACTACTACTACTACTACTACGACGACAACTACTAGCTACTACTACTACTACTAACTACTACCATCACTGCTACTACTACGACTACGACTACGACTACTACTACTACTACTACTACTACTACTACTACGACTACTACTACTACTACTACTACTACTACGATCACTACTACTAAGAACTTTTACTACTACTACGACTACTACTACGACTTCTACGACTGCTACTACTACTGCTGCTACTATTACTACTACTACGAGTACTACTACTACTACTACTACTACTACTACTGCTACTACTACTACTGCTACTGCTACTGCTACTGCTACTGCTGCTGCTGCTACTACTACTACTACTACTACTACTACTATCACTACTACTACGACGACTACTACTACTACTACTGCTACTGCTACTGCTACTGCTACTACTACTACAACTACTACTACTACTGCTACTACTACTACTACTACTACTACTACTACTACTCATAAAAGAAATAGTACTGCGACTACTACTACTACTACTACTACTACTACTACTTTCCTTGTCTTATTTTGAATTCGAAACTTAAAACTCCACGTCGCACCACGAAGCAAGTTGTTAGGGCGGGCCGGGCGTTTCGCCTGAGGCTTCCTAACCACTCATGACCCTGAAGCTGGAAAACTAACAACATTTCACAAATGGAGAGCGAGTGGTTTTCAAAATGTGGTTTTCGCCATAGCGCCGCGCTTGTTCGTTTTAAGCATTCGCAAGAGCTCCACGGATTGAGGGCGACTGGTTTTCAAAATGCGGCTCTCGCCCTAGCGCTGCGCACATTCGTTCTCACAAATTGCAAGCGTTTCACGGATTGAGGACGGCTCCTTTTCGAAATGTGGCTCTCGCAGGAGCGCCGCGCACATTCGTTGTAAACATTCCAAGAGCTTCACGGATCGAGGGCGGCTCCTCTTCAAAATGTGGCTCTCGCCTTAGCACCGCGCACGTTCGCTATAAAATGTACCAGAGACCCACGGATTCCCAGGATCAAAAGTACCAGGGATGTTTTCTTCTTTGGCAGATTCAGGATTATGCGCGCGCAACAAGTACATTGATTCACGGTGTTGAAGTTCCAGAATTGGCGACCTGGCACGATTCAGGCTCGTGAAGATGCAACAAACAAGTTTATCTGTGGCGTTGGAATCCCAAGAACAATGCTTGAGTTCGTTTCAGAATAGTCCAACGGTTGTCTCCCGACGAGGCAGTTCCCTCAGGGGAGATGAGCCGCTGTGGGGGCCTATGAACACGAAGCTTTGAGGAAGGGTTTTCTCCAACGTCGTGATGACCCTGAGGTTTACACTTGTTTTCCTCTTCCTCCTCCTCCTCCTCCTCCTCCTCCATTGCTTTTCCTTACAAACACCTTCTACCTGTCGCATCCCGAAACCAATGTTTAGGGCGGGCCGGGCGTTCCGCCTGACACTTCCTCACCATTTCTGACTCCTGATGTTAAAATGGCAGCAGCTTGACACATGGAGGGCGGGTGGTTTTCTAAATGTGACTCTCGCCTCAGCGCCGCGTACATTCGTTTTGAGAATTCGCAAAGGTTTGACTGATTGAGGGCGGATTGTTTTCAAAATGTGGCTCTCGCCTTAGCGCAGAGCACATTCGTTTGGAAAAATTGCAAGCGCTTCACAGATTGAGTTGGCTTTCGCCTCAGCGCGGCGCACATTCGTTTTGAACATGTACAATGGTTTCACGGATTGAGGGCGGCTCCTTTTCAAAATGCGGCTCTCGCCTCAGCGCCGCGCACATTCGTTTTTGCAAGAGTTTCACGGATGCCCATCATCAACGTGCCAGACATGGTGTTTTGGAAGGATGCAGGATTTTGCGGGCGCAACAGTTACGTCGATTCTCTGTGATGAGGAACGGCGTTCTGGCACCTTTCAGGCTCGTCGGAACGCAACAGTCAGGTTGATCTGTGGCGTTGGAATCCCGAGAATCATGTTTTGGCATGCGTCAGGGTCTTCAAACGGTTCCCTTCCAACAGGCAGTTCTCTCAATAGACATGAACCGTTGTGGGGCCTATGAAGAGAGAGCTCGGAGGGAGGGTGTACTCGTAGGTTTACACTGGTCTTAAACTTAGGTTTACACTGGTCCTCCTCCGCCTCCTCCTCCTCCTCCGCCTCCTCCTTCTCCCCCCCCTCCTCCTCCTCGTCCTCCTCCATTTCGACCTCCTATTCCTCCTCCCCCTGCTCCTACTCGACCTCCTCCTCCGCCTCCTCCTCGTCCTCCTCCTCTTCCTCCTCCTGTTTTTGCTCGTCCCCCTCCTCCTCATCATCATCCTCCTCCTGCTGCTCACCCAACTTCCACACCTCCTCCTCCTCCTCCTCCTCCTCCTCCTCCTCCTCCTCCTCTTCTTCCTCCTCTTCCTCCTCCTCCTCGTTGTCCTCCTCCTCCTCGTCCTCGTCCTCCTCCTCCTCCTGTTCCTGTTCCTGTTCCTCCTCTCCTCCTCTTTTCCCTCCTCACTCCTCCTCCTTTTGCTCCCTCCTCCCCTCCTACCCTCATCCTCCTCCTATTCTTCTTCTTCTTCCTCGTCCTCCTCTCCTCCTCCTCTCCCCGTCCTCGTCCTCCCTCTCCTCCTCCTCCTCCTCATCATCCCCTCCTCCTCCTCCTGCTCCTCCTCCTCCCACCTCCTCCTCCTCCTCCTCCTCCTCCTCCTCATCCTCCTGCTCTCCTTCCTGCTCTCCTCCTCCTCCTCCTCCTCCTCCTCCTCGTCCTCCATCCTCCTCCTCTCCTCGTCCTCCTCGTTCCTCCTCCTCGTCCGTCCTCCCTCCTCCTCCTCCTCCTCCTCCTCCCTCCTCCGCCTCCTCCTCCTCATCATCCCCCCCTCTCCTCGTCCTCCTCGTCTCCTCGTCCTCCTCGTCTCCTCGTCCTCTCCTCCTCTCCTCTCCTCCCCCCCCTCCTTCCTCCTCCTCCTCCTCCTCCTCCTCCTCCACTCTTCATGCGTCCCCCCTCCGACGCCCTCTTGCACCTCCCCCTTCCCTGCGTCCACCCCTCCCTCCCCCTCCCCACTCCTCCCCTCCCTCCGCCTCCTCCTCCTCCTCCTCTACTCCTCCTCCTCCTCCGCCTCCCCTCTCCTCCTCATCATCCTCCCCCTGCTCCTCGTCCTCTCGTCCTCCTCGTCTCCTCGTCCTCCTCGTCCTCCTCCCCTCCTCCTCCTCCTCCTCCTCCTCCTCCTCCTCCCCTCCTCCTCCTCCTCTTCCCTCCTTCTCCTGTTCCTCCTCCTCCCCCCCCTCCTCCTCCTCCTCTCCTCCTCCTCCTCCTCCACTCTTTCATGCGTCCCCCCTCCGACGCCCTCTTGCACCTCCCCCTTCCCTGCGTCCACCCCTCCCTCCCCCTCCCACTCCTCCCCTCCTCCGCCTCCTCCTCCTCCTCCTCGAGGAAGAGGACGACAGCGATGTTCCGATGTCATGGCTGGCCTCCCCCTCTCGCCTCCCCTCTCTCACTCCTTCTGCGAATCGTCTCCTCGGCCACGGGGACGCCGATCCCGTCGTCGCCGTGGTTGTCGCGCGGGGAGTCGGACCTCCACCACTTCTCCTCCAAGGGTCGAGGCTCGATGATCGACGCCCGAGTTGTTTGGACGCTATGTTGTGCATCTTTGCAACGCCTCCAGCGACCTCCATAGCGGAGGAGAAGACGCGGCGCTTGCCAATTGATGTATGCAATGTTTCCTCTTCGACTCCAGAGTCCCGGCCCCTCGGGCGGAGCAAGGCTCGGGGACCCCGGCGCGGCGGGGGCGAGAGAAGACGACTCGGGCAGCGGAGAGAGCAGAGAAGCGGGGAGGCCGCACACGCATGCTGCTGTGGCCGCCAAGTTTTGCCCTCGACCCTCGAGTGTCGAAGGGGCGAGATTCCTGGACGCTGTTGACCTTTGTCGGGCCTCCAGAAGCCTCCAGGACCCTCCAGGGACCTCCGGGGGTCAAGATCCAGGTCGGGAGCAAACTTTCCCAGCTGATCTCCACGCACGCCGCTTGGAGGCGTCTGGGGGGAGGGGCCTCACTCGACCGTTCCTTCCTCTCCTCCTCGATCCAACAACTCCTTCGCCCCCTCCCCCTCCCCCTGCCCGTATCTGCCCGTCTCATTCCCTGCTTGTCTCTGTCCCCCTCGGTTCCCCTCCAAGCTCGCGCGATCCATGGCGACCCAACGACGCATGGTCTCCGTTTGTGCAAGCGCGAGCACTTCTACTTCATGTTACCGTGTCGGGCTTCCGATGGGCCCAGTCCTTCAGATAGCCCCACGTGGGGCGACATGGCTGATGGCCGACGAGTGCAACAAGAGCCCTCCCCCCGACCGCCCAAAGGTGTCCCAAGAGGTTCTCAAGACGTACCAGAAACCTTCCTGCAGACCCCCGAAAAGCGCGACGAATCATAAAAATGCGTGTGGCTCTTCATCGTTAACTGCTTATGTGTCCCAAGCATTCTGAAAGGGCGCAAAAGACAGCAAGTCGGCAAGGCCCCCGAAGATTCAACACGACGGCCCCGACCTACCACAAGAAGCTCTGCAGCAAGCCCTCTGGCGCAAAACTTATCGACCACAAGTTGTAAAACAATGCATCCTGCTTCCCAGCATCCCCCGACCCCCTTTTGCGGGGGCCATCAGGATGCAAAGATCTGGCTTGAGACGCTGAGCACCTTAATTCGCGGAGGTGCAACTAAGCACTTCGAAAATCTGCCGACCCTTCGGCATGTGCGACACGCAGTCGTCGTCTTCGCCATCGGCGCCGCCAGCCCCAAGGACATTGAGGAACGAACACAGAAAAGAAACGTCGTAATTAAGCCAATCCCCTTCACTTTTGCCCCTTCCCTGACGGTGGGAAGGAGGGGAAGGGGGAACGGGGGGGGAGGGGGGAAGGGAGGAGGGGTGGGGGGAGTTGCTTTTTCAAGCTCGAGCCCCACTGTTATTCACGATAACTCTGCTCAACAATCATGCTTGCGAAGCTGCATTGTGAAACTTTGTTTGGGAAACTACTTTCACTAGGCAAATGAAGACTGTACACACTGAACTATTTACTCTGCTACCCTTTTCTCGGACTACTTAGAATCACGAGCGGAGCGCGGAACGAACCCGGCCTCTAAAACTATCTCCATATCCTCAAAAATGTGATCGTAGTTCGTCTCGTCCACCTACATGCGGTAAATCACCGCTGTCCAGTTGATCAGATTATGTACGTCTGGTTTGATCACGCTTGGCTTGAGACGACTGAAACTGTTATCCTAAACTCTCGGCTTCCAATCATGTAGTACATGTCAGCAATAGCTGGGGAAAGACTCCGACCTTAGTCATGCCATCTGCCAACATTCTTGCTGCGGGCGCACGCGCCACTCGGCGAAATCTCCCAGCCTGGCGACTTTCTCTCAAAAACACCACAGAAATCCTCTGGGTATTGCTCGTCGTCGGTCCTCTGGCTCCAGTGTTCAGCTCGAGGAGGTCCATGCAGTCTGCTTCTGCCTCGCAAGGAATCAAGAACACGTTGTTATCCGTACAAGGCGTGTCCATATCAGCCGAAGCTGGAGATCTCTGTTATGGGACACCACTCTTTGTCGTCATAAAGCACTCTGCTATCACTCACCAACTCCACCAGATTGCCTTCCACGGGAAAGCCAGATCCCCTGGAAGCATGCCGGCGTCGGCGATAGACCCCAATCGCATTGGCCACCAAAGCTTTGGAAAGTGAACCGCTTATCGTCTTAGTCTTCGACGCCCGAGCAACCAAGCACTGTACTGATCCAATTGGGTCGTGGGGAGGGGGGCTGACCGAACTGCTCTGCAAAAGTACAAAACCATGGCGTTGGTCCATACGCGCCGATCATACCCACAGCAGGCTGCACGCAATGATCGGAACTCCTTATTTATGCTCGTCTGCATCGAAAGGTACACTGTCATAAGTGAACCGCTTCTGGTCGATCACTGTCGCTGGTGTCAGCATCATCAAATAATGTTCTTGATCCAGGAAACAATGACCAGGCGATGGCATCGAATTACGTACTCCATAGCTCACAAAAAGAAGATGCCATTTGACTGCACCGAATAAATTTGGGAAAGGCGGTATGTCCAGCCCAAGAAACTCTGCGAAGTTATGATCACGATGCCGTCAACATGATATATATATGTATATATATGTATATGTATGTATATATATGCATACATACATACATACATACGTACATACGTACATACATACATACATACACACATACATACATACATACATACATACATACATACACGTATATACGTATATGTGCAAGCCTGCATTGGCGTTTCGCGCCATGCGCCTCTCTCCAGACGCCTTCTCGGCAAAGCAATCACTTATCGTTTGTTTCAGCACCGCGCCTCACGGGAGGAAGTAAGGAGAAAAGTTCCGCCCGGCTTTTCATCTGCCGCCTCCACGGTCTATCCCTATCCATCCCTTCCTCCTCAGTTCCTCCTCTTCCGCCTCTTCTGGTCGTTGAGTCCATCCTTTGAAGAAGTAAGGAGCGTTCCCATGACACGCCGAAGAAGTCGCAGTAGCTTCGAACGATCGATTTTAGTCGCTTCCTGAATGTCACTCAGGAAATCTTCGATCGTTGGATTTCGAATCTAGATCCATTAGATCCATTGCATCTCTCTGTCGATCGACGAATCTGAACCTCGAGCCTCAAGAGTGGAACCAAAATCGTCGGGTCAGCTCGATGTGCTTTGTAGGAGAACGCCGTCTGGGCGTTCTTGGGGCTCTTTTGGGTCGCCCTGGAGCCCTCTTGGGCCGCCCCGGGGCCTTCTTGGGCCGTCTTGGGGAGCTGGGGCCCTCCACAGGCCTTATGAAGCCATCTAGGGCCCTCTTGGGGGCCTCCAATGGCGTTCTCGAGGGTCTCCCATGGTTTTCGCGGCTCTCTCTCGGGGGCCTTCTGGGGCATCTTGGGCTTCTTGCGGGCAGTCTCGGGGCTCCTTGGGGCAAGCTCGGGGCCCTCCTGGGCCGTCTTCAAACCATCCGGGGCCTCCTGGGCCGTTTTGGGGCGACGTCGGCGGCCCATCGGGCCGTCTTGAACGCTGCGAAAACCCAAAAACCGGATACGTTAAAAAAACACTTTTTCCCAAGGGAATGGGGCGATATGTGTTTCTACGGGGCTGTCTTAACGGCCTCTTGGGGCGTCTTGGGGGTCTCTTGGGCCGCCTTCAGACCATCGAGGTCCCTCTTGGACCGCCCTCGCGCTGTCATGGGTCTCTTTTGCGCCTCTCCGATGACCCCTCTCTGGTCGCCGCGAGTCTGCGCGCAAGGCCCAGCAGGCCGCCCCGGGAGGCCTGGCGGGGCCAGCGGACCTTTTCCAAGGGCGCCCAGGAGGCTGCCGGGACGCCGCGAAGGGCGCCCGGGGCGTCCACGGGGGGGGGGCGCTTTAGGGGGGTGTCCCGGGTAATAACAACATACGGATAGGAATCGCCCCGACCCCCATCCATCCACGCGCGACACAGAAGAAGTTATCATCATGATACGCACTCAGGAAGCACAGCCCCCTCACCGCGAAGTTCACCAACACCAGCCGCCGCAAGAGAGAGCCGCCGACGAGCCCGCGCATGTCTTTCAAGTCGAGCACGAAGCGGGCAGCGTCATGATCTTCCACGCAGATGCCACTGCCATCGATATCTCGAAGATGCGGCGTGAAACGAACCTTCCAAATATGTCGCGCCCCGCGACCAAGTTCAGCTGCCCGGCGCACAACTTCAGGGAACTCGAGGCCTCGCAAGAAGGCAGCGCTGATATTTAGAACCACAGTCACGAGGTCACACAGAGCTGCTAGAGGCACAGCCGAGCGAGGAAGAAGTCGCGACGAGGTGATGCTGCCCTCGCGGCGGTTCAGAAAAACTCGGCCGCGACACATGGCCCCCGCCAATCCTTTCGAGCGACCTGCCCACATCCGCGCCAACGCGCCGTCGATGACGCTGTCGGAAGCCGATGCGGGCGCGAGCTTGAAGACGCCGCGGGCGCCGACGCTGCCCACCCCCCTCCGATATACTGCTTCAGCTGCTGACCACTGCCGAATGATCTCCGGTGGGTGATATCCAAATGATCCCCGATACGCCTGGACACAGCACTCGCATCGTTGGGATCGCAATGGAAACGGCGCGATGCCCAGGAGGAGCCAGGCACCACCAAGAAAAATACGCCCCCTGCCAGGGCACCACACCATCCTGATCCAATCCGCGTCTGGCGGAGAAGCTCTGCAGCAGGAGCTGCATTATTCATGTTGTCTGTCGCGCGGTCGTCGCAGATATCGTAAAGTGAACTCTGCCAGCAAGGCCGATCATGCATGCACTGGCGCGAGGAGTCTGGAGACGCGCAGAGCGGCGTTGTCTGCCGTCTCATCTAGCAAGCCTTCCGGGTTTTCGAGGGCCTCGTCAAGATCCTCCGCCGCAGGGCGCACCATTGCGGGATGTCCAATCGTCCTGTCAATATCTTCAGATGCAGGATATTCGGCCGTCCTGTGTGGATCTTCCGCTGCAGGCTATTCAATGGCACGACCAGGACCTTCATTCTGATCAGGTGGGTTCTCCAACGTCCGATCTCAACCCTGCGCCGCAAGTGGCGGCTCTGCCAGGTGAATAGCTGAAGCCGACGACTGGCGGCCGCACTCGGGGCGCGTCTGCCCACGCGGGCCCCCCAAAACATTCCGGGGAGTTCCCGCCGTCGGAAATATCGGCGGGCCCGACGTCGACGCCACGTGCGGATGTTTCTCGTCTCGAGGTGAGAGGGTCGAAGAAGCGTCGCTTCTCCCGCGCCCACTTGACGCCAGAGGCGGCGCCGAAATTTTCGGCGCGGCCGATGAAGACGCCGGCGGCGCAACTGACTTCCGCGGGGACGCCGGCGCCGTTGATGGAGAGGCCGCCTTTGATGGAACAGACGCCCGAGTCGCTGCAGCTCTCGGATGGGCCCGCAGTTCCACCACCTCAGGTTCAGGCCGAATGCGATGTCTTCGTCGGCCGCCGAGGAAACGCCATCGCGGAATGGATCTGGAACGCGGTCCGAGCCCAGATTTCCGGAGCAGCCAAGTCTGAGATCCCCCTCCGGCTTCTCGCCCTTGTCCTCCATTGGCGACATAGGCGCCGACACTGGCGGCGCCGCTGGAAGATGGAGTCCTGGAGGTGGCGCCACTGGGGGCGGAAATGCTGGAGCTGGTGGCGATGGCATGTTCGGCGCCTGCCAGGTACTTGGCAGGCTGGCGCATGAAATTCGACTGCCAGAGGCACCGCTGCTGGAGCGCCTGGCGGCGCAGGAGGTGCTGGCGGCGCCAGCGGATGCCCTGCCGCCACTGCTGAAGTCTGCGTCACTGGGTTTCCTGTGTCATGCTGACCTCTGGTGTTTTGGGAGGTCACGCTGGTCGCGGTCGCGGCAGCGGTGGTGACTGCTGCGGCTGTGCCGACGGCGTCGGGCAGACCGCTGCTGGCGGGATCGTCGACTGCGCCCCCTCTAACCACGGCCACGGAGATGGCTGCCACATCATCTTGTTCTTCAGCTCTACGACATCGCCCAGATCAAGGGCGCGCTCGCACGAGTCGCTCGGCTCGTCCTTCCGCGGGAGAAGATGACACCGCATGGGCGAGAACTGCTCGACCACGCGTTTAGATCCCCCTGCTGCCCCACACAACCAGGAGGCAACGTCGCGCCGCGGGCAATGTCGCAGCACGCTTGCATTGAGTGCCCGCGCGAACGCCACCTCGGTCCGACTCGAGAAACATCGCGCAGGCCACCTGTTTGGCGATCTCGTATATCCGGGGCTCGTTCTCGCAGGCCCCCAGGCACGATAATGACACGTCATCCTGCCGCGTTGTTCATTGAAGAACGTGCCGACGATAAGCGGGCCATTCTGTGCTAGCTCCACGACCAAACTCATAGGCTCGAAGACCAATCGCGACCTCTCTTGATCAGTCTGATAGTCCGCGCACGCACTTCCCTCAGCCAACAGCCAAACGAAGCCCACGCGCGGTCGAGTTTGGCGACGCGGGACGAGCATGATAGATCCACGCCAAGATACTCTCGCGTTGCATTCCGGCACGTAGGTCTCGATGAGTCACGCACGCCCCCCCCCCCCATCCTGGGGCGCCCTTGGCGTCAAGGCCACCTCCAAAAGTCAGCCTTAGAGCCATCCACCAAATTGGCTGCATCTGCAGCAGTATGCTGCGGCACTGTCACGTCGCGGGCATTGCCGATCCTGTCCGCGACGCCCATGGTGACTATCCTGAGCCCGATGGAGGCATCTGCCGCATCTGGCGCGCCCTCGACTTCCCAGCTGCGCAGCGAGGCCAGCAAACGTCGCCACTGGCGCATGTCCACCACATGATAGAGATAGGTTCGTCTTGATACCGCACCCCTCCACACACCGCTGCCGCTCCTTGCTGACATGTCACCTTCGCTTCTGTGCTGCGCCCCACAACTTCACGCTGCCGATGCGTAAACTTCGAAACTGCCGCTCCAACTTGGGCGGTACGATGACCCTGGTTTCCACCGAGGTCCCGGTCGATGGAGGAATGCTCACACGCCTTTGGAATCATATCCGACATGACAGCTCCTTCCGAATCTGAGAAAATGCGCGTGCCCGATATATTTGATCCATAGCTTGAAAGCTGCCTGCATCCGATACACTGGCGCCTCCCGCTCGGGCTTCGTCGTTGAGACATAGCCGGTGCATTCATACACAGAGACCATGGATGTTATATACCGATGAACCACAAGTCAGTCTGCAGGTGAAGGTTGAAGTGACAGCTCGTCGCAACTCCACGCTGAAGCCGCGTAGGATGCCGACCCCAGCCCACGCGCGCCTTACACGCGCGTGGAATAACCTGGACCATCAGTGCCAACACTGCCTCGCCGAAACTTCCTCGGCGAAGGAATCAAAGCGAAAGTGCCGGAACTTTATGCGAAGCCCGGGATGACCTCCTGCTTCTCGATGACGCCGATAACAAAGCCGTTCAGCTTGCCACGTATCTTCGCGAACTCGAGTCCCGGAACGATGTGGCGCGGCCTCGACTATCTCCAGGTCCTCATAGGGATTCGGCGCTGCCGGGCCCAGTGTCTTCGGCGTCAAACCCCCCCGAAGCCCGCCTCGTTCGGAAGACGTTCCCCACGGCGGATTGCCCAGAACATCCCAGGGAACGGGCGCCCCGAAATCACAGCAGGCATTGCAAGCGCGGGCTAATCTCTGGCCGCACCGTCCGCTGCATCAGCTGGCGCCGGCGCTGGTGCTGGAGGCTCACAAAGACCTGGGCCTGCTGGCACTGGCGATGCTGCTGCTGGCGCCGCCGGCGCTGCTGCGCCACGCAGAAGAGCACCTCCCGGCGGAACCGATGACGACCCGCTACCCCGAAACGGGTCGAAGCGGCAGTCCTTGACCGTCGCGCGAGGAGGCGCGGCCTGCCCATCAGGGCCGACCTGGCGAGCTCCATGGTTACATCATTCGCGGGTCCAGCCCATGCAGAGCAACTGGTTCTTGTCGCTTCGCTTCACGTTCATGCCGATGTCGCGCTGAATCGCGCCGCCCTCGATGCGAACCGCAACATCCAGGAGCAGGGCCAGGTAGAACAGCCAGGGGTGCACCGCGGATGGCGCCGTGCGATGTTAGATCCAACTCGGCTCTGCATGATGCCGTGAAACTCGCACCTGTTCTCTCCTGTGCACTGTCGTACTGAGCCGCAGCGTAGTACTGCCCGTCGCGAGAAGCGACGCGGCCTTCTGCGTCGGCAGGCGCGTCACGTCGATCGCGCCGAACTGGCACTGGTCGGCGTGGCATTTCTTGTTGTCGCCGAGAAGTCGCGAGGGTGATTTCGTGAACTCGTTGAACGCGCCCTGGGTGAAGATCGACGACAACTAATGGCTTTCTGCAAAAAATGTTTGTCTCGCTCCTGATCGCTGTCTACGCGCTCTGCTGCCCATTCAATAGTCGGTCCTTCAGCTGGTCGCGCCTTCGAACGCTTCTCGGGGGCTGCTGGATTTGACTGAAACGACCATGTCGTGCATCTCGGCAATCAGTAGTAGACTTGAACACCAAACTCCTTCTTGCTCTCATCCAACAGTCGATGGTGATCGGGTTGCTTCAAATTCCGTCCACACCGGTAACCAACTGGAAATCCAATCCTGGCCAACAGCTGCTCCTGCTGCAGAAACACGGCCTGGTCCACTCATTCCTTCTTGTAGCGATAGAGGCTCACCGCGGAGATATTGTTCGACACTGGATGCTCATTCCACGTTCTCCGGCGCGACGACCACGCATCCAGTGAAAGTGTAGGGTTCTTCAGTGATTCAGGCATCGCCTGATTCTCGTGAGCCAACCGCTTTGTTGTACCTTGAAGATATCGCGGCCAGTGATTATCCTCTTCCCTCCTCCTCCTCCTCCCTCCTCCCCCCTCCTCCTCCTCCTCGTCCCCTCCTCCTCCACCTCCTCCTCCTCCTCCTCCTCCTCCTCCTCCTTCTCCCTGTGCCAACCCACTCCCCTGACCAGGAGGCAGCCTTTCCAATTTTGTCGCGAGCTCTGACTCCGACTCCGACGACGACGACGACGACGACGACGACGACGACGACGACGACTCCGACGACGACAACGACAACGACAACGACAACGACGGCGATGACGACGACGACGACGACGACGACGACGACGACGACGACGACGGTGGGCGGGCCCTGGCGCGCCGTCCTGCCGCGAGTGCTCGACCTCCGCGTCGCTGGGCACCGCCTCGGCGCCCCGCGCTCCCAAACCGTCGAAAAAAAACTGCTCGGCCACGGGGGCATTTACAGGCTGCGGGAGGGTCTAGAAGCTGCCCGAGCAGAGAAACCTCCTCCTCCTCCTCCTCCTCCTCCTCCTCCTCCTCCTCCTCCTCCTCCTCCTCCTCCTCCTCCTGCTCCTCCCCTTTCTCCTCCCTCCTCCTCCCTGCGTTCCTCTGCCCCCGGCAGGGTCGTCGACCACGGCCCCTGGTGTCTCCTGCTCGCTCCCCTCATCTGGGTCGGGTGCCTCTGCGCTGCCCCGGCGCGTGGGCCCGTGGAAAGGGTCGGGATCTCCAGCTTGTCGGGGGCGGCGACAGGGGCGAATAGCTCAGGGGAGAGCAATACTGTGTCTAGGGGCGAATAGCTCAGGGGCGAATAGCTCAGGGGCGAATAGCTCAGGCGAATAGCTCAGGGGCGAATAGCTCAGGGGCGAATAGCTCAGGCGCCGATAATATGTGTCTTCAAAAAGGCTTCAAAGAGGCTCCCGGGCGAATACGTGTAATGTCCGCCCCTGGGCTATCCGCCCCTATCGTCGCCGCCGAGCTTGGGGTCCGCGACGTGAAAAGAAAACCAAGTGTGGGGACATGGGGAAGCCACGTGGGAACTAAGAGATGCCGATGGACCGTTCTCGGGGTGCGCTCTGACCAGGGTTCCAAGGCGGATCCAGCCGCAGAGATAGGGGCACCAAAGAACGCCCAAGAACCGGCGAGGAGGAGGGAAGGGGGCCGCAGCAGCTATCTGCTGCCATCCGCGGGTCCGCGATCGTCGCTAGAATGTCGGCTTCCGCTCATGTGCTGGAAGGACGGGCAGGACTAAGCGAGACGGCCTGTGGCTTGTGGGCTCCAGTGTTTGGCAGAAGTATGCAGCTGGAATGCAGATCTCAGCAACTTGTGCATGGCGTGGGCCCCTGGGCGTCTCGACCCCCTCCCTGGGACCGGCTTGTCATGCTGCGTCGTTTTCGACAGTTCTGGCTTGAAAACGGCATACAAATGCCGAAAATGTTTGAAAACGGGTCCGCGCGACAGGCCCGAGAGACCGCCCACGATCCTCGATTGCCGAAGCTCGATCCGTCCTCGAGCCTCCATCGGAGCCATAGCGGAAGTACGTTGACCCAGTGCAGAGCGAACCCGGGTCAACCAATTCAGTACTTGAGCGCCGGCAGCTGCGTCGCGATGCCCCCAGGCTTCTCAAGCCCAGGTCAAACAGTATGCAGGGCCACCCTAGGATGAGGAACAACGATAGGGGGGGGGGACTGGGGGCAAAGATAGGGGGCAACGAAAGAGGGGGGGAGAAAACATCGACCTGGAATCGGCGATACTCCGCCGATAGATCGGCGGCGACCCACGATAGCAAATCCGCACCTTCCTGGGCAGGGTGGGACTATCGGGCCACTATCGGCGATCAATGGGCGAGTGGGGGTCGATGCATACTCCCTTATGCCTCTGCACCCCTATCGTTGCCCCTGATGGCACTACAAGCGCGTCCCAAACGCAGATCGGCCAGAGCTGGGACACAAAGAATTGCACCCGACGCGCTCCCTCGCCCTTCCCCAGGGGCATGCGCGGCCCCTGCCGCAGGTCGCCAAGTGGTCTGCGGACGACCCCGCTGACAAACCTGCTGCGCCGCAGCACCCAAAAACGCTAGCTTTGCACGATCCTACATGATCTGGCGCCCTTTGGGCGCTCGGAAGCGAAGAAGCAGTTCACCAGGAGGGGGAGTCGAGGACTGAAGGATATCAGCCCAAAGAGCAGCCCTGAACGGCCCCCAACCCACAACCGCAGGCCGAAAAGGTTGTTGAAAGGTGCTCTTTCCCCCCGCTCCTGCATTTCCCCCCCATTAATGGATACCTCCCGAATGGGGTCCGAAAGGATGGGGCCGGGGGATCGCGCCGCATCGCCGATGCATCGCCGATGAGCCAGCGACGCATCAGCGACGTTAGCGATGCACCCAGCGCCGTCAGTGTAAAGAAAATCGGGCTCCACATCGAGCGTAATCGCCGATGCATATGCGATGCGGCGCGGTCCTCCGACCCCACCTTCTCCAGCGATTGGAGAGAAGTAGCAAATGCCAGAACTCTGGCCGACCACGTATGGGGCGGAAGCCCACTCTCTCGGGGGTCCCAAAACCGTGTGGTGACGGACCGCGCGGTGATCTCGAAATCCCAAGAGACCTTATCGCGCGGTCCGTCACGGCACGGTCTTTGGAAACCCCGGAGGCTCCAGTCGCCCGAGACGTCCTCGAAGAACGGCCCGAGTCCCAAAACCGTGCGGTGACCACGAATCTCAGATCCCCGACGTTCTGATTCTTCAGAACGTTCAGACTTAGAGGCCTCCAATGATTCGGGGGGGCTGGCTTTTCGTCCTGAACCGTTCTTTGACGGTCCCAGGGGCCTGGTAGAGGCACCAGGAGGCTGAAAATGGCGAAAACCCTCCCATCGCTATTTTTTCACGACGCGAGGGGGTCTGGGATCACCAACGGCTCACCACGCGGTGTGGTCACCACACCATGTTCGAGGCCCCCGACTCCCTAGACAAGCGCGTTCCACTACTCGCAAAGTAGCTATTCGCAAATGGCCCGGATCCGCCACAGGGAGTTTACGATATGTTACACAAAGGCAGACGTATGGCTTTCTGACGTTTGCGAGTAGGCACTTTGCGAGCTATGGAACGCGCTCGGCGACTCCCGCGGGCACCCGCCCCGGCAGGCGGGCGCCAGGGCGCCTTCGCCTGCCGGAACGGCGGCGGCGACAGCGCCTGCAGCACCTCCGCCTGCGACGCCGCGGAGGGAGGAGGAGGAGGAGGAGGAGAAGGAGGAGGGAGGAGGAGGAGGAGGAGTGAAGGGGGAGAGGAGATGGAGATGAGGAGGAGGAGGGAGGATGAAGGAGGAAGGAGGAGGAGGACGAGGAGCTAGGAGGAGGAAGGGGAGGGCGGGCGCACGCCGCCCTCCCGCCGCGGAAAGCGGGAGCGATCGGGGGGGACTTCGGGGGGGGGGGCAGGGATGAGGAAGAGGAGGAGGAGCATCGAGAGGAGGATCGAGAGGAGGACCGAGAGGAGCATCGAGAGGAGCATCGAGAGGAGGATCGAGAGGACCCGTTCTGGGTGCGGCCGAGCGCCCCGCGCGGCAGCGCCGCCACGGCGGGTCGAGGCGGGCGCCCGGGCTCGCCGACTTTTTGGGGGGGGGGGGGGGGGGTGGGTGGGGGGGGGGGGGGGGGTGGGGGGGGGGGGGGGGGGGGTTGGGGGGGGGGGGGGGGGGGGGGGGGGGGGAGGGGGGGGGGGGGGGGGGGGGGGGGGGGGGGTGGGGGGGGGGGGGGGGGGGGGGTGGGGGGGGGGGGTGGGGGGGGGGGGGGTGAGGGGGGGGGGGGGGGGAGGGGGGGGGGGGGGGGGGGTGGGGGGGGGGGGGGGGGGGGGGGGGGGGTGGGGGGGGGGGGGGGGGGGGGGGGTGGGGCTGTCCTGGTCCGCCGCGGGTCCGAGCTGCGGGCAAGCGACGCAGGGGCCCAGGCGAGGCGAACCGCGGCAGAAGAGCACGGGGAGGGCAGCAGGAAGTGAAGAGAAGACCGCGCGCGGCCGGGGGCCCTCAGAGCGTGAAGCTCTTCGGGACGTGTGCCGGAGCAGGCTCGACTTGACCTGGAGGTGCAGCCAATGGATGACACGCCCAGGTGGAACGCGTGTCTTTATTTTCGGCGACAATGGGCATTATAGGGAGAGAGAGGGGTATAATGTAACGCCTCCCCCCCGCCGTGTGGCTCCGGCACCACCACAGCCGCGCCCGCGCGCACGACGACGATGAGCGACGAGCGACGAGCGACGAGCGACGACGACGACGACGACGACGACGACGACGACGACGACGACTACGACGACGACGACGCGAGCAGCATGTAGTTGGCGACCTGCCCCGCCGCGCCTGTGTACACCACAATGCTCGCGTGCACCACAGCGCGCGTGTACGCCACAGCGCCTGCGTACACCGCAACAGCCGTGTGCGACGCAACGCCTGTGTACACCACAGTGCTTGCGTGCACCACAGCGCTGGTGTACACCACAGCGAATGTGTAACACGCAGCAACCATGTGCTACACAGCGCCTGTGTACACCACAATGCTTGCGTGCACTGCAGCGCCTGTGCACACCACAGCGCCTGTCTACACCACAGCATCTGCGTGCACGCAGCGCTGGTGGACACCACAGCGCTTGCATGCACAAAACGGGTAGAAAGAGCATGTAGGTCTGGATCTGCTGCGGAGAGCTAGACGCCACACCAGGAAAGTGCTGATAATAGAATGCGATGTTCTTCTCTTCTCCCTCCTCATCCTCCTCCTCCTCCTCCTCCTCCTCCCTCCTCCTCCTCCTCCTCCTCCTCCTTCCTCCTCCCTCCTCCTCCTCCTCCTCCCTCCTCCTCCTCCTCGCAGCAAGGAGCCAATACCGATGGGACAAGGAACCGAGACCAAGGAACCCCGCGAAGCGCCGGCCAGCGCAGGCCCAGCACACACCGTCTGCTTAGACACAAGATCGAAGCCCTGAGGCAAACTCTGAGTGGGAAAGAACTCTCAGCAAAAACAAAAAAGGTAAAACACAAATCATTGAACACCCAATTAATGCGAAAGCAATCGGGACTGGGAAGGCCAAACCCATGGAAGGCCATTGGTTTGCTACATACTTCGTGCGCTTGGATCTACAGCATGTTTGACTTCTGGGCTTCGAGAACAAAACATTTGGCTAAAGCATAAAGACATGTGTTTGAGTATGGTGGACCTGGAGAGCAATACTCTTGCCATTCAATGCTGATTGTGGCCAGAAGTAACGGCTCCTGACGTATTGCCAACTTTCTCTGGTTTGACGAATCGGGGCCGCTGAAAAGACTGTACGGGCACAGAGGGCACTCAGACACAAAACGGCGCGCTGCCTCGAAAAGACCTGCGGGGCCTGGACATGAAAACGACCTCTTGGTTTCGAGACCAAGCGCGATGCAGCACCCATTGCATCCCAGGCGCGGTAAGGGGCACACGGCACCTCCCACGCCGCTGAGCAGGTGACCCCCCAAGAGGAAGATCAAGCCTTCCAGCGACATGCTGCCAGGGAGAAGCGGCCGATGAAATTAGCCACGCAGGCTGGCCAGTGGCCGACACCGGGGGGGGGACAAAGGTATACCGATAACGCTACTCCCAGAAACTCCCCAGGGGTGCGTTCTGACTAGAATTTCGAAGCGAATCCAGCCGTGGCGACATGAGAAGGGTAGCGGTATCAGTACCGATTCCTCTTGGAAACACAGGCGCAGAGGAGCCAAAACTGGGCGGCGGGCAAGGCCTGTGTCATCTTCTTTGCGTCCGTCGCCGCCATCTCAGGCTGCGGGAAAATGCGCGGTCACTGCGGCCTCGCGTCGACCGGGATCGCAGGGAACGTGCGGCAACGGGAGCCACGGAGGCTGAGGAGTAAGAAAGACCTAAAATCGTGTATGTTCCTCCTCCTCCTCCTCCTCATCCTTTTCCTCCTCATCCGCCGTTTGGTCCTCCTCCTCCTCCTCCTCCTCCTCCTCCTCCTCCTCGTCCTCGTCCTCGTCCTCGTCCTCGTCATCGTCATCATCATCATCATCATCATCATCATCATCATCATCATCATCATCATCATCATCATCAGCATCATCATCATCATCATCATCATCATCATCATCATCATCATCATCATCATCATCATCATCATCATCATCATCATCATCTCATCAGCATCATCATCATCATCATCATCATCAATCATCATCATCATCATCATCATCATCATCATCACATCCTCAGCATCATCACATCAATCAGCATCATCATCATCATCATCATCCATCACCATCATCATCATCATCATCATCATCATCAATACATCATCCTCATCATCATCATCATCATCATCATCATCACCATCATACTATTCTTATTGTTATGCTTCTTCTTCATCATCATCATCATCATCCTCCTCCTCCTCCTCCTCCTCCTCCTCATCATCATCATCATCATCATCATCATCATCATCATCATCCTCATCCTCCGCTTCAGCCTCCGCCTCCGCCTCCGCCTCCTCCGCCTCCTCCGCCTCATCCGCCTCCTCCGCCTCCTCCACCTCCTCCACCTGTTCCTCATCCTCCTCTTCCTCCTCCTCCGCCTCCCCCTCGTCCCCCTCCTCCTCCTCCTCCTCTACACTCCTCCTTGACCTCCTCCTCCTCCTCCTCCTCCTCCTCCTCCTCCCTTTCTTTTCCTCCCCTCAGCCTCCTCCCCCCCTCCTCCCCCCTCCCCCCTCCGCCCTTCCTCCTCCTCCCTCCTCCCTCCTCCCTCCTCCCTCCTCCCTCCTTCCTCCTCCCATCCTCCTCCTTCCCTCCCCTCCCCCTCCTCCCCTCCCCCTCCTCCTTCCTCCCCTCCTCCCTCCCCTCCTCCTCCTCCTCCCTCCTCCTCCCTCCTCCCTCTCCCTCTTTCTTTCCTCCTCCCTCCCCTCCTCCCTCCTCCCTCCTCCCCTCCCCTCCCTCCCTCCTCACTCCTTCCCTCCTCCCTCCTCCCTCCTCACTCCTCCCTCCTCCCTCACTCCCCTCCCTCCTCCCTCCCTCCTCCCCTCCCTCCATCTCCTCCTACTCCTCCTCCTCCTCCTCCGCCTCCTCCGGCCTCCTCTCCTATGCTCCTCCTTCCCCCCCCTATTCTATCCTCCTTCCTCCGGGCCTCCTCCTCCTCCTCTCCTCCTCTCCTCCTCCTCCTCCTCCTCCTCCTCTTCCTCCTCCTTCCTCCTCGTCCTCCCTCCTCCTCCGCCTGCTCCCCTCCTCCTCACCCTCCCTCCTCCTCCTCCTCCCTCTCCTCCTTCCTCCTCCTTCCTCCTCCTCCCATCCTCATCCTGCTCCTCTCCTCCTCCTGCTCCTCCTCCTCTCTCCTTGCTCCTCCTCCTCCTCCTCCTCTTCCTCCTCCTCTCCTTCTCCCCTAGTATCTCCCCCTATTCCTCCTCCTTCTCCCCTCCTCCTCCCCTCGCTCCTCCTCCTCCTCCTCTCCTCCTCCTCCTCCTCCTCCTCCCCAGTTCTACAATATGAAATCTACTCTCCTCCTTCCCCTGATGACGGGTTGGGATTGTTTTAGCCGCCCCCCCCCCCACCGCGTACTGTTTTTTACACACAGGATTCCCCGGAATTGGGTCTTCGCCTGCATGTTGTCCAAAATGCTGCTCTCGCTGAGGCGCCGGCCTCATTTTCGGGCCCCGCTCGTTCCGAATCGTGCTCCAGCTGCAACGCTGGCCTCATTTCCGTGCTTCCGCTCGTTCCGAATCGTGCCCCCACTGCAGCGCTAGCCTCATTTCCGCGCTTCCGCTCGTTCCGAATCGTGCTCCCGCTGCAGCGCTGGCGTCTTTTCCCGTGCCATGCCACGGCATGCAATGCAATGCTAGGTTGCGTTCCGCTGCGCGAAGCCATGCCTTCAGCTTAAGCTGTGATATGCAGTGCTTAAGTGCCACGTCGTGCTATGCCATGTTACGCTTTGATCTTCAACGCCATGCTATGCAATGTTATGTTCGGGGCCGCTGTGCGATGCCATGCTTTGCGTTGCAAAGCTTTGTGATGCAATTGTTCACTACGCCACGCCACGCCAGGCTGTGACATACTACGCTTTGCGGTGCTCTTCTACGCCATGCCATGCCGTGCTCTACAATGCATCGCGTACCCTTTCGGGATCATTGCCCTGCTCGACATCCGACTGTGCCAGTAGAAAGGGGATCTACGCCATGGTAAGGGATGGGAGGTAGGGGTAGGATGTCAGATATGACGCAAGCGCACCTAGCTGTCCCCCTCCTCCTCCTCCTCCTCCTCCGCCTCCTCCTCCTCCTCCTCCTCCTCCTCCTCCTCCTCCTCCTCCTCCCCCTCCTCCTCCCCCTCCTCATTCCCCTCCCCCACCGCCAGAGGTGAGTGCCTTCACGGCCCCGACCGGAGAGAAAACTTTGTTCCCAACCCACGTCGGCGACCCAAACAATTCCGGTGGAGGAGGGGCGGCGGCGGACCCCAAACAGCTATGGGAAGGCATCTGCATGCGTGCACGTCCGTGCATTTACGTGAAAGGCCTGGGGCGGCCCAGCCGGCAGACGATTCGCAATTATCTTCTAACGCACCTCCTCAGAAGCCGTGCCGTGCAGTCCGGTATTAGTGCCGAGTAGGTTAGCTCTGTGCTCAGAAGCCAGTTATCCCACTAAGTGGGATAGAAGATCCCGTACGCTCTGACCCTATCGTGGGTTCGCTCTGTGCTCAGAAGCCAGTTATCCCACTAAGTGGGATAGAAGATCCCGTACGCCCTGACTCTGTCGTGGGTTCGCTCTGTGCTCAGAAGCCAGTTATCCAATTCAGTGGGATAAAAGACAAATCGTGTTGACAAATCGTGCTTCGTTATTCTCGATCGCGCTTCGCATACAGGCACTCGCTAACCGAGTACGTGTGTGAACAAATGTGCGGTAAGTATGCTACGTACCTTGCTTATTGTTTCCCACACCACCCGGTAACGCTCGTGTGCGCGCGCGCCCCCGCGTCGCGCCAGCCCGAGGCGTCACGCGAGGGAGAGCTTGGAGTGGCTCCGCTGCGGACGAGAGCCCCCTTGGGGCCTCGCGCCAATCATAGCGCCGCAGAGGTAAGGTGGGGGCGATGCCGCGGGTAGGCTGACCTGTGGGCCTGCACAACCGAGGGCATGCAAAATCGATGTCCCTCTCCTGATGTTAACATGGGAGCGTCGCGGCCTGGACACCGTCCCTGTAGATAGCGAGCTGGAGGGCAAGATCTGTCCGCCCCAACGTGTCCTCATAAGCAGTGGGCAAATTAGGCCCCCGAATGGCCACAAGAAAATGCGGCTGATTTCCTCCGCACCTCCGGCCGATGACGAGGATGGGAGCGAAACGATCGAACACCCGCGTGTTCATAGCGGTGCCGGGGAGCGTTCGCTTACCTGCCTGAGGCCAGATCTGCCCAGTGCTTATGAGGACATGTTTGCCTGGCGCTTCTGGGGCGTGACTCCGGCGCAGATAAGGACGCCTGCGCCACCGCAGACTCCGTGAAAGGGTACGTTGGAAGAGAGGGAGGGGGAGGGAGGGGAGGGGACAAAGCAGCAAGGGCGAGGAAGGAGGGAGGAGGGGAGGAGGTGTGGACGAGGGTGGGTGTGGAACCGTGGAGGCAACGGAGGGCACGAAGTTGCTGGGCAGAAATTGTCACAGGCCTTAGATTCTCAAACGAAATGTGGTGACGTTAACCTGGCCGGCCCGACACCAGACGCCACCGCCTTCAAGTTCAAGAAAAAAGGGGTCAAACTTGTACCGATGGACCCCTCAACAAAACAACCACCTCCATAGGAAAAAGGCCACGGTCGAACCCGAACCAACTCCTACTGTAAGCACTGCGTGGGGTTGTACCAGGAAGCAAGAGCAACGAAAATGTCACGAATTCCGGCGTCGTAGCAGAGCATACGAAGCCCCCCGCAACTGCGGATAAGTGACCGCTCGGCCCCCTCACTCTGATCAGCCGAAAACGGCTGTGGTCGATACCCCGTCTCCTCCGGGGAGGGGGGGCGCCTTTCTTCTGGTGCCAAGCGACATGTATCACTCAAAGGTCAGCGTGCCTGCGCGCATGGCAGGAAACGAATTTCTCGATGAGGGTCAGGGCGCACTTCCTGGCCAGCTGAATACGCTTTTGGCCTTCGGGAAGCACAGACAAAGACGCCAGCTGCGCCGTTGCCTGGTCGATGTAAATCCGAGCGGTCTTGATGGAGGCCCAGCGCCCCAAGTCGGTCGTGCTATTGTACGATTTGTTGGTGGCAAAATGCCACGTGGCCCCGCCGCGTCGAAGGCAGTAGGGAGTGAGGTGCGCACTCTCGAAATCGAAGAACGCTGCCACCTCGGCGATGTCGTCCCCGAGGTTCTTCTAACTGCCTGGATACAACCAGTCCGAGGGCTCGAGCGCGGCGGCAAACGCCTTGACGAACAGTACAACCACCCGGTCCTGGATGAGGACTTGCTCGGCCGAGCCGGTGCGGTTAGCTCCCTTGCTACTCGGGAGCACTACGGCGAGAACGTCCCTGGACCCCATGCCGGAGTCCTGCCTGACGCGGAGGCCGACGATCTCGCCTGAACGCAGCAGCCCCGCAAAGCCTAGCAGCAGCCCGGCTGCAAGCCTCGGCTTGTCTTTGACCATTGCCAGCGCCACCATACCTAACAGGAGGTCCACGGGCAAGGGCGTCGCCCTGTCAGGACGCAAGCATTTGGCCCAGCTCCGATGGTAAAGCTGCGCAGTGTCGAGCCTTGCGCGGCATCTGGGGTAGAGCCGGCGGAGCCCGGATAAGAAGTCGGAGGCGTGT